AAGTCTGCATCCTCAAAATGTGTGCATGCATTTGTGATTACATAGCGTAGGGGTGTGCTATTTTAAACACATTTTTCTACAACATGCTTGTACACTCAACCGATACTTGAGGCTCTAAAAACACAGTTAAGTAACTAGACCGTTGCTGCTTATCAAGCTGAGATAAATTTGGGATTTTAGGCAAGATGTAGACCATATATGGCAAGCCCATGTAAACCAACAACAACAGCAACTAGACAAAATACTGTCTGTAGTGCTTTCTTTAGAGATATGACTGCACACATCATTTCACGTTATGAAAGATGAAATTATTATTTATGTTGTATGCAAGGTTTATATCAGAGATCAAGGATGATGTAAGATCTTCAAATGATGAATTAAATTCAGAGTTAAGCAGTCATGTGCCAGCATACAAAATTAATTTAATTAGTGTGAATAATCAGCAGTGGATTCACGCAGTCAAGTGTGTGTGTGTGTGTGTGTGTGTGTGCACGTACGAGCATGAAAGCATTAGCATCAGACAAGTAATTGCGCTGAAGTGTCTCGGCAGACACTGTGGAGGCGCGTGCCTAGTGTTTAAATGTGTGACTGGATGTTTGAGTGTTTTTTATGTCATGACCCACACGCTTACTGTCTGCTCACAACAGTAATTGTTCCACTCTTTGTTTACCATGTATGTTTTGTCTGACTTGCAGAGGTTTTTCTTCAGCTCCTACCATCCATGCTTTGGTGCCCATAATTTATGGATCCCCACAGCTCTCTTACTAAATAGGCTTTTACTTTTTGACATATTTGAGGGAGTGTTTTGGACTGTGTAACTATCTGTATAATGTCACATCTCACAAAACAGTAATTATATGTACATTTTTTTCTCTCTGCTTGTTGGAATGCTTTAGTCCTCTTTGCCACATAACAGTCTGCCACATGGCGCGTGTCTAACAGTGACCTTTACTAAGCCTACTTTTTATTCAGCAGACATGATGTATAATTTTATGGCAATTTAAATCTGACAGTTAAATGTTTTCGCAAAAAAGAAATGGCCTTTTTTGTTACTCATTAACATATGTGTATGCAATGGCTTGAATAATGAAAAGCTTTAGACAACCTTTACTATGTGTTTTTCGTCATTTTTTCATGTCCCCAGCCTTGCTGTATTAGCATATATAAACATTTTGATATAATAATAAATAATACAGTAAATAAAAGGTATGTAATTATTTTATATATTTTAATTTCGCTTGACATAATATATTCAAATGCAGAAATGTTAATTCATGCGTTCATGACCTCAAGGTTAGATTATTGTAATGTCAAAATCAATCCTTTTCCTATTTAGCCCCCAAACTCTGGAATAATCTACTTAATATTGTTCGGGAGGCAGACACACTCTGTCAGTTTAAATCTAGATTAAAGACCCATCTCTTTCCAGCCCAGATGGTGGATCAGGATCTAGAGATGACCTCGACAGCCCTGAATGTCAGCGAAGACCAGAACAACTAGATGAGCCCCAGAGACAGATCCCCAGTGAAGACCTTGTCTCCTAGACGGCCACCGGGACAAGACCACAGGAACCAAATGAGTCCTCTGCTCAATGTGACTTTGCTGCAGCCTGGATTTGAACTATACACCTGTTTTTATACAGTCTATGATAAACACACACACACACACACACACACACGTGTGTGTGTGTGTGTATTAAATGTATTACAAAAGTTGAGCATTACTTAAAATCTCCGGGGGCATTTTAGGCAAATCATTTATGGATCAGCTGTCAAGAAAGAATCACAACGAGAATCCAAGTAAAGAGTGGCAACGCTATTTCCCACGAACGAGTCAACGCCACTTGCTCCCGCCCAATCAAACTCCAGCTCTTCGTTCACCTGATCAGAGCGAAGCCATTTTGTCCTGAACGGCTCCGCCAGCGCATTCTTCAGCAAACCGGAATAACGTAGAGCTGACAGTTCGAACCACAGACACAGCGTCAGACAGGGGTTCTACAGCTACACCACCCCATCATTCAGTCCCGAACAGCTCGACGTCTCTCGGTCTCACCATAGGCGGAACCGTGTCGAATTCGCGGACTAAGGGAGACTTTAAGCTGGACGGAAGGGAAGAGAACCAGGCATCCGGTTAGACGCGCTGGCTCACCGGGCTGGAGTCCAACTTGAGCCGGACACTTTCAGCTGTCCTCGTCGGGATGAGTGCTGGACTTGTTTTTAACCAGCCTGTAGTTGTTGGACCTGAAGATGAGAGCATGTCAGGAGTGGTGTGATAGCAGCTTTTGTTTGAAAGAGTGTGTGTATGACTGTGAGATTAGTTTGTGTGCTAAAGCACTCATGCTGGTCATCTTGAGAAGTTTAAGCAGACGTTAATTTTCAGGGGTTCGCAAGGCTGTATTTATGTAATGTGAAAGTAAACAAGGAAAATTGGCACAACGTTCAATTATTTCCTTTATTTTCAAACTAAAACAGCAATGTTTCATTTATAAATCTCTGAGAATCTCTGGTTGAGATGTTGCTGTTTTATTTGGAAAATAAAGGGAATAGTTGAACAGTTTACAATGTGTTTTCTGTTTTGGTCCTCCACCTGTTGAAGGTGTTTTGGATGTGCTTATTTTCTCCAGTATTACACATTGGTTGAGAAAAATCCCTGAATACAAATGTTTTTATGTTCCCATATTCCTTATGAAACACTTACCTATAAATCATTATTTTTAATTTATGTAACAGAGTTTAAAGCTCACCTTAAGAACATCAGAATGTTAAAAGTGTAAGACAGAATTTGTATAATAAATTGCTTGTCGCTTGTTAGTCACTTGAGATAAAAGCATCTGCCAAATGACTACTTGTAAATGTGAAATTCACAGCTCTAAAACCTGACTGTATGTTGGCAGTAAAAGCATTCATTTAGCATCTACGGAGTCAGGCATTTGACTATACAGATGACGCAAGTGTTGACTGAATGAGAGGGAGGAGTAAACCATTTCATCAGGATTTCCATGCTCTGTCAGTCAAGAGAACTCACTCACAAATCCTCTGCTTGCGTTTTTGTGACACAATCTGCAGTACCACACACTGTACTTTATATGAATGTATAAAGAGCTTTTGTAAAAACAAGATAAAATAATTATGAAGCAATTTCGAAACCAAATGTTTAAATTTTTTGGCCCACGTATTTTAATTATTTTTAATGATCTATACAGTGATCCAGAATCGTTTTTAGAATAAAAAAAATCCAGTGCAATTTTCTATTACAAGCAGAATTTGAACCACATTGTGTTATTTTCAAGTCAACATCTCTTGTTTATATAAGTAGGATGCTCCCTGAGGAAGTGATCAGTTGCAGAAACTGTTGCCAAGGGCTACAGCTGGATCTAGTTGCCATGGAAATAGTTGCATCTGTTTTCCTTTAGATGGGGCTGTCACATCAGCTGTTCAAATGGCCTAACTGCAAGTATCCAAAATATCTGCTGGACTGTTAATTTTGTAGATCAGTTTAATGTTTTGTGTTTTCCAGTGTCAAAAATATTAACGTTCATTGCAAATGAATTGTCTTTGTGCATATGAATACCACACAATGAATAGGTTCTTAGTAAATTTATAGTAATTTTGTTTTAATAGTAGTTTTGTCAGTGATGTAAAAACAGCTATTTAAAAAAACAGGTTTACTTACACAAATGTTTTGTCTTGTTAAGCATAACCTAAGAGCTTGCTCTGACATCTAGTTAGAGTGTCATCAGTTTTTAAAGTAGACTATATATAGCCATATGTGACACAAGTTCAAATGAGCTATTTACATGTTAGAATGAGACATGTTCTCATGCTCCTCCCAAATGAAGTCAAGGTTCGACACCATTGTGGTTTTGCTCTTTAAACCACTTCCTCATACAGAGAGGTGTGTTTAAATGTTGTACTTCCCTTCTGAAACATACTTTTGCTTACCTCATTTTTGACACACTGGGTTTTAATGCTTTAGAGAAGGTTACAGGTCATCAAATTAAATTCAGGGTTATGGGACATATGTTTTAACATTTCAATAATGCACTTGTTCACTGTAATACACTACATTCTAGTTTGTATAAATCTAATGTGGAAATAAAAAAATTCAAGCAAAATGTGAAATGTTTGTTTTGTGTAATACATCTATTGTGTCTTGTTATTTGATTGCATTTGTGTAATCTGTTATATCACAGTGTATTGTAATATATTTATAGTGTCTTTTTTTTAGTTAGTGTTTCATTAACAGATCAAATGGTATTTAGTGGTATTTTAAACCAAATTACATCTCACAGCTCTTAAGTGGGCATTAAACAGAAAACGACTCTGTTCATGCTGATGGACACTGTTTCTGATCTTCATTTTGCTTCAATTGGGTGTCATAATACGGTGAATAGTACAACACAGTCAGTCAGTCATTCACATGTGAATAGACAAGGGCAAAGGGATCTGAAAGCTTTGTTGTGCTTCTGAAACTGTTGGATGTCGTTTTCAGAGAGAAACGCAGACATAGTCACATAAAAAAGGTTGACTGAGTCATAAGCTTTTGAAGAGACATTCCGAACATATTTATAGGCTACTTCAAAAGATCAGAATGCAGAATGCAAATTTCAAACAACAACATTTTTACAGTTAATTGCAATATAGGCTATAAATTATTTAATACTAAAATTATACAGTAATACATAATTAACCTTTAAATTCCCTTACGTGATTAATAATAATTATTAATTTCGAAATCTGAATAATTTTGAATATTTATATAAATACAATGCATACTGTATAGTCTCACTGTCGGACCAATCTGACTGATTGATTTTGATCCATGCACAAAATATTAAATGCGGACCAAAAATGAACTATATTGTAATTAAATTACATTACTTTAAATGTACATAAAACATATCCTATGAAAACATTATGAAAGTAATTCATGAACACTTGTGATTCCAAACTGGCAATGCCAAAAAAATAAAATAAAAATAAAATAAAATAAATACACTTTCAGCTGTCCTCGTCGGGATGAGTGCTGGACTTGTTTTTAACAATATTTACCACTCTTTTTGAAGATTTTGTGTAATCTAGGCATAGCTTAGGCTCGCACAGGATTGTTTTTTTGTTAGTAGTGTCTAATATAAGAAAGCTGGAGCACTAATTCAAGTTCAGATGTGATTTAAGCTATCTACTCAGCTGGCTGGGCAGATAGTTTAGGTTGTCGATTAGATACGTCGCTTAAATAGCTTGGTTACATAATACTTTTGTTTTGTTACCGGTATAGTTACATTTTTGAGTTGATCCAGCTTTCTTTTTTCTCTTTGCCAAGTCTCTCATAGGGTTTGGTTTGTATGTCTATGCATATTTCTCGCAAGGAAACCTGTCGGAGTTGTTAGGTCTTGGTGCCATTATAATAGTAGGTTCATAAAGACAGGAAAAACCACAGAACAGATTTGCCTATCTAATCACAAGCTAGTCTGCGGTGCTTCCAAGATCCACTTTGTTTTCTTTTAGAAGGTCTGTGTTGGTGAGGCACAAGCTGGCTGACAGGTGATATTTTCTGCCTGAATCCTCTGAGCTGGCCTGACTGATAGCTATGACATTTTCCAACAGTTGTTTTTTATCTTCAGACTTCAATATTACAAGTATCTGCTCTTGGTGCCAACGCTGTATGAGTAATTTTAGCTAACAAAAGCTCAGATCGCCCCTCCATATTAGTTACGGCATATCTAGTTGTGATATTTTTACTAGTTAGGTCACGTTTTCCTTCCATTTTTGCTACAAGTGTGTGAATTAGTGCCAGTTGACTTGGTGGCTGGTTCGAAACGTATCAAACTCATCAGTTTGTATCGAGTGTATTTTTGTAAAATCGTCAACTCCTATACTTAGATCTTAGTGGAAAGACACACCTTTTGCAGCTAGACCAGGTCAAGTTTAGTGGTCATTTTTCGTAGCTCAGAGTTGAATAAAAATGTCAGGACAGTCCATCACAGATCGCATCGCAGCGGCCCAGCACAGCATGACTGGATCAGCCATCAGCAAAGCCGTCTGCAAGGCCACAACGCATGAAGTCAGTGGACCCAAAAAGAAACACCTCGATTGTGAGTATACCAAACAAAAATCTGTATTTTTACCTGTCTCTTCACAGGTACTCTTGAGTGATTTTTAAAAGCTCAAAGTCTTACCGCATCCCTGGCATGCAGTTCCACTAGCTTTGCACATCCTCAGCTGTCTGGACACCAGTGATGAATTGTAACGTGCTCATGATGGGAATGCTGATCTGTCTTTGGACACGGTCAGTTCGAGGAGCTGATGCCACTGTAATGTGGTAGACAGTCATTCATGGGATTTGTGGCTCATTTTATTTTACTATAATATATGTGTTATTTCAGCGGTGTTGTGGAGGTTGTTATCATGCAATCAACCTCGATCTATTAATATCTGCTTCATAATAAGCAGCCGCTCCGGCTTGAATCAGTGAAAGCAGCTGTCGGGGATTCTGATGCATTGTGTTTGAAGTCATGTGTTGTGTGTAATGTCTTCACGTCTTGTTTGATCCCTCTTTAGCAGTAATCGTCGAGACATGGTGGGAGCGGTGAAGGTCAATACAGGCGTGTGTGCAGTGAAGCATTGACTCAAATTGATTCTTTTGACAAAAGCAGAGTTAATGCAGAATGCAGCACATCAGTTTCATACTCGCATAGGCAGTGTCACAACATAGTTGAGAGAGAGTTTCCGAACGGATGGCCACTGAAGTATTTGCACAACTTGTATCTGATATACTGAACATAGATAAAAGCATCTAGATGCAAAATGCTCTTCGTCAAGTGATTTGCTATTAGACCTTTAACTGCGGGAGGCTGGCTGCTTCAGCTCCTGTCGTGCTGTAAAACCCCTGACTGACTTGCAGCCATGTAAATGATCTGAAGTCTGATTGGGTTGTTGTGTGTTTGTGTCTCTGATTCTTCAGCGTTTGCAGAACACAGCTTCATGTTTAGTCTGGATTTGTTTCCTGTGTCAGCCACCTGTTATGCGGCCTAGCAGCTAGAGTGTGTTGAGCAGCCAGCTTCGATGCTTCTGTTTTAATCTGGCAAAACTGCATTTATTTTTCGTAACTGTAACTCAACAACACAGAATTACTGAAGGTCATGTGTTACTCACTTCCTCTTTTTGCTCAAAGCAGAGAAGTATTATTATCCAGAAACATTACTTGCTTAAGCCGGTTCTTAGAATTGGGAAATTTCAGAAGCCTGACGTATGTTGTTTTGCTTTCGTGCAATACATCATAACTATGGATTAGGGATGCATTAGTAGCAGAGTATGTGAGCGTTGGCCTTAAAGTTCTGCATAATTAAGGGCGTGGCCACTTGAGTAACAGGTGGATTGCCGCTGCTGTCACCACCGTCAAGCTAGGTGGGTGTGGTTTCAGCAACCAGCTCCTGCCTCTTTGCCCATTTTCGATTATCTGGGAGTGACGCGCTGCCAAGATGGCGTTGGCCGGCTCCGCCTACTTTAGGCTTCAAAAACACTCTTCGGAAACCTACGGGTGACGACACGGACACTACGTCCATGTTTTTATACAGTCTATGGTATCAGCCAGATTTTTTTATATCATTACGTTCCTATTATTTATCATAGCTTAGAATAAGCTCCGTGTTTATCCATTGCTTTTCATTCTGGCAAAAGTAATCTGTCAGACTGGAAATTTAGATACCTGACAAAGAAGTTGATCTGGCGGTTTTTTTTCCTCTTTTGAAGGTTCTATCGTTTATTATTAAGTTTTGTCCAGCTTGCATTCACTTTCCTGTTCTGTGCAAACAGCAGTGAGATTTTTACTGAGTCAACAAACAGATTTTGCACTCTGACCTCTTCGGAAGCAGTGAGTGGGACACTTGAGCTTACTGTACTGAACTGAGATTTCTGCCACTCGGTCTTGCATTCTAACCAATAAACTAACTGGGGAACTGTTCCCAGACTGATTACACCGCTAATTACACTGTTTCTGATTTCCCAGTTTCCATTGACCATTTACAGGTCCTGTTGATCGATATTTCACACAAAAATGACAAAAGCTGTCTTAAATCAATAGTTTAATGTAAATTTGGGGCGTTAGGTTGCACTAGATTTCATCAGTCCACTGGGATACAGTGTTTAAAAAGAAATAACTAATAGCTTTGGCAAAGTTTGCAAGGTTTTTGACAGCTATTCAGGAGGTTTATTTCAAACTATTAGTAGGAAGTAAACAAAATATCCTTAAGCACAGCTGTATATTTTATTTTAGAGTTGCCCGCTCCTTAAAAACTTAAAGGGGTCATATGATGCGATTTCAATTTTTCCTTAAATCCGCCGGCCAACCGCTCACTTAAGCCAGCCGCCGCTCACTCAAGCCCGCCGGCCGTTCCTCACTCTAGCCCACCGGCCTCCGCTCACTCAAGCCCGCCATGTGTGACGCTGTGTGTTTCGTTGTGAAAGTGAAACTACTTTGTTTGGCCTTCCAAAAGAGGACACGACTA